ATATCTATTGATTTTGAAGGTAAAGTTTCAATGGACTTACTTGTACACAACCTTGCCCAGTGATATGCTATCATTGATTGAGATCGCTTGCAGCGTAGACGCCGCAAACTGCGGAACATTGTCATTAACATCAGACACCGTAATCCGCACCGTGCAAGAGTCCTAAACAGAAATTCTGAGGAACTGTAGCTTATACAAGCATCACCACTTACGTTGATGTCTCCGTCTTGTGCAACTATCACCAACAAGTGCTCTGACTGCTGTTCTCGATCAAGCGCAGCGCTGGACAGTTTTCCGGTGGAAGGATCGATCTCGAAGAATCTGTTGGATCCTGCAACGAAACCGAGAACTGATACTGTAGGTGATTACTGTAATCAACATCTAGTGATTGAAGAAAAAGCGATTCGCGAACCTCGTATGCTGAACTTGGTGTTGTTAGAGGCATTAAGGCAACGATCTGTTTGAAGTCCTTTCAATACACGATTCTCAGGAACGGTTATCGATCCACAAGAGGCGGAGCTTATCCGAGGCCCCGCCTTTTTCGCTCGGTCACACGCACCACAATTGATAAAGAATCTATCTCACCGCGATCAGATTTTGCCAGTACTGCAACGGAATGCGGATCAATAAAGAGCAATGATCAGCGAATAAGACAACGTATTGATTTATTCGATTACCTGACAAGTGATGAACACCTGCAGTGATGACACTGGTCAAAGAAATTCTTCCAGAATTATTAATGCTAAAGGTCGTCGTCGATGGGAACAGCCGAATAGCCGCTTTACCTGAAAACGTAGGCTTTAGCTATGCAGCTATACTGACCACTGCGAGGTCCCGACATCTTCAAATATGACTTTACAGAACTTACTTCGGGTAAAATTTGTAATCTACTAAGAGTGAAGCCGGATTCGACGATAACAAACAATAGCGACAAGCTTTCTTTTATTCAACGCGACGCGACCGCTCGCATCGCAAACTCGTTGTTCACCAGATTTCGCTTCGGTACAATTCAGAAGCGCTTGTGGAAATACTGGTAATTTTGCGTGCTTCTACCCTTGTCAATGCTATCTCGGGCTTGTTTCGGGTATTTTCCATTTATCAAATTAGTATCAAATCAGCTCAGTGGGTAAGAAACCAGTTCGTTCTCGAGATCAAACGAACGTGTGGCCCGCACCTATTTCCAATTGCTTTTATAAAACGTGCGTTCAAATAAACAAGGAAATGGTGTATACATAACCACTGGCCCGATTGAGTTATGCTGGCGTCAAAGTGAGATTGCGACTAATCGCTAGCAAATCGCTCGATTGGTCGCAAACACAGCCTGACGCTCCCGTTACATTCTGAATACAAATACCAGAAAACAGCCTAAAGATTGCGACACGCGCCGCCGCTTTCACCGCCTAGTACGGGGGCCAGAACCCTGGACTGAATTACGTCCAAGTCAAGCA